AAGGCACTAAATACGAACGGCGCATCAAACCTACGGCACATGTTCTAAAGATGTACAACAACTCATCTCTCACACCCCTTGGAAAGTGCAAAATACAAGTACAAGACCCAATTACAAAGCAAAAGTTCAAAGTACCATTCACTGTTGTTGATGACCAGAATGCAAAAAGTAACCTTCTTGGCTGCCGCACCGTGCAACAAATGAATTTGATTCAAATTGGGAGCCCAATTCATGTCGATCAAATTAATGAAGACCTGACTCGGCCTGATCAAATGGGACTGACAATGCAAAACGTCAAAGACACATACCAAGATGTTTTTGAAGGTCTTGGCACCTTAGGTCCAGCACTGCATCTTGAAGTTGATCCTGAAATGTCGCCTGTCCAACTCCCACCAAGAAAAATCCCAGAGTCGCTCAAGCAACCGTTGCGAGAACATTTGGACGAACTTGTCAAGCTTGAGGTCATAGAACGAGTAGACTATCCAACAGACTGGGTCAGCGCAATTGTTGTTGCACCAAAACCCAATGGCAAAATTAGATTATGCCTCGATCCCAGACCACTCAATAAAGCGCTGAAACGATGCCACCATCCAATACCGACAATTGACGACGTACTTCCAGAACTGTCCAATGCAAAAGTCTTTACCAAAGTCGACTGTAGCAACGGATATTGGCAAGTAGAATTAGACGAAGAGTCGTCTCTTTTAACGACGTTCAACACTCCATTTGGACGATTTAAATGGCAACGGATGCCTTTCGGGATCTCCCCTGCAGGAGAGATTTTCCAGCAACGACTGGACCAGGCAATTGATGACTTGGATGGCGTACGGACTGTTGCTGATGACATTTTAGTAATAGGAAATGGAGAGACGATGCAGGAAGCTGTAGCCGACCATGACAGAAAGCTCAAGGAACTATTCGACCGCTGCAGAGCTAAACATATCAAGCTTAACCCAAACAAGATTGAGTTGAAGAAGACCTCAATGCCATACATTGGCCACATTCTTACATCTGACGGTGTCCAAGCGGATCCTGCTAAAGTACAAGCCATACTAGAAATGAAGCAACCCACAGACGTGGCTGGAGTCAGAAGAATCCTCGGCACAGTTAATTATCTTGCCAAGTTCCTTCCCCACCTCTCACAAGTATCTGAACCACTACGACAACTCACAAAAAAGAATCAGCCTTTCGATTGGGACAAATCGCATGACGCCGCTTTCACCCAAATAAAGAAATTGATCACAGAACCGCCAGTCCTCAATACTACGAGTCGACCAAACCCCTGATAATACAGTGTGACGCTAGCGACCACGGCCTGGGGGCCGCACTCATTCAAGAGGGAAAGCCTGTCGCATTTGCCAGCCGAGCATTGACACACGCGGAGAAACAATACGCTCAGATAGAAAAGGAACTGTTAGCTATAGTTTATGGAACCGAGCGTTTTCACCAGTATACATATGGCCGACCAGTCACAGTAGAATCAGACCACAAGCCGCTCGAAGTCATTCATCAGAAACCTCTGTCAGCAGCACCTAGACGTCTTCAAAAGATGATGATGAGATTACACCAATATGACTTAACCATCGTTTATAAGAAAGGGTCAGAGATGCTGCTAGCTGACACACTCAGTCGTCACCATTTAGACAACTCCACCGACGAAGCACGCAGCGTCGACAGCGATCTCGACCAAGTGGACAGTTTGGAAGAAATAAACGAAATACTAAATTGTGAAACAACAACCATATTCCAAGACCACACAACGAAAGATCAAGACCTACAGCAAGTCAAATCATTCATCCAGTCAGGATGGCCCGAGAGCTCCAAAGATCTATCTCCAGCAATCACCCCGTACTTCCATCTACGAGACGAACTAACAACACATGAGGGCCTCGTGTTTAGGGGAGACCGCGTCGTTATCCCAAAATCACTACGAAAGCAAGTACTGAATGAATTGCATGCAGCACACCAAGGGATCGCATCGACAAGTCGGCGAGCCAGAGAAACCGTCTACTGGCCACACCTGAACCAAGAATTGAAAGACCACATCTCACATTGCATCACCTGTGACACATTCAATTCCAAGCAGCCGAAAGAACCTCTCATCCCGCATGAAATACCAAAGAGAGCATGGGCAAAAATCGGTTGTGATATCTTTGAATTTGAAAAGAAATCGTATTTAGTAACAGTGGACTACTACTCGAACTTCTTCGAAGTTGACCGCCTTGAAAAATTGACATCACTGGCAGTCATAAAGAAACTAAAGCCCCATTTCGCCAGGTTCGGTATTCCAAATACTCTCGTGACAGACAACGGCCCACAATTCATCAGTGATGACTTTCGAGACTTCTCTATGAAGTACCAATTTGAGCATATAACGACCAGTCCCTATCACCACCAATCCAACGGCAAAGCCGAATCTGCCGTCAAGCAAGCCAAACGAATAATTCGAACATGCAAATCATCAAACGATGACATTTACCTTGCCCTCCTTGCCCACCGAAACACCCCCCAAACAACTCATGAAACAAGTCCCGCACAGCGACTGTTTAACCGCCGTACAAAGACTCTCTTGCCCGTCTCGGAGAAGTTGCTCCAACCGAAGATAAATCCGCAAGCAAACAAACGCATCCAACAAAGACAACAGCTCCAAAAGAAATACCACGATCGTGGCGCAAAAGAGCTCAGCCCGTTGCGGAAAGGAGAAGTGGTGAGACTACAGCCAACCCGAATCGGCGAAAAGAAATGGAAGAGAGGGATAGTCGTACGCAAAGCCGGGATAAGATCATATGAAGTCCAATGCAAAGGGTATACCTATACTAGAAACAGAAAATTCATCCGACGATCAAGGTTACCTGCAGAATTCGGTAGTGACAACGCAGATGAAGAGATGTCAGACATGTCCGAAGCGGAAGAGAACGTTTCTGTACCTACTGACAATGATCTGCCCCAAGAAAACCCTCAACCAGCACACTTAGAACGCAATGAAACAAGTACCGAAACAAGTTCTACAAGCAAAACACGTAGTGGACGGTTAGTTAAAAAACCTGACAGGCTAGGTATAGACACATAAGGGAACGCGGTATATATACGGTATATTTATAAAGAAAAAACTTTCAGAGAAGAGGAGATGTTGGACATTTACTGTTGACATTAATATTTTAGTTATATTTGCTCGGACAGGGAAAACTGGGAACGAACGAAAAGGGCGCGAAAATAGTTGTAGGACACGGGATTTTAGAGATAGAGTATATACATGTTAGGAGTTTATATTATGCGAATTATACTATAAGAAATAAAACTATCAAAAGTTAATGAAAGTGAGAAGCAAATAACAAAATATTAAATTAAAAATATTACTGAGATGATCCTGTTATCCCACAAGCTATATCTATGAAATTGCACTGGTATACCTATATAACTGATAGTATTTTTTACCTTGAATATTATTATATCATGCACAAATATAATTATACGAAAATCTTAAAAATAATATAATTTCAAAATCGAAAGTCCAAAGTCCAAAGTCCAAAGTCCATAGTCCAAAGTCCAAAGTCCAAAGTCCAAAGTCCATAGTCCAAAGTCCAGTCCAGTGTTTACAATATGCCATTAACGAACGACGCGGAAAACCAAAACAACTTTTGTAGAATGCAGATTATATGCATTATTTGAATGCTAAGTCTGGTGGAAAATCCGAGTGAACTTATATATTTATACATAATTTAAAACCTAACCAGCAACGGTTGCAAAAAAATACAACAGAAAGTCATCTGGAGGGAATTGAATCTGTGCATGGCCCTGCGATTCCAGTGCAGCGCCCTAACCAACTGGGCTACAGAGTACACTTGTTGAGCTGTAACCTCACCTAATATTTATACAGCTATTTCAATTAAGGTAGTCCCCCGAGCAAAGCGGAATAGTCGAATACGAGCGCGAAAGGCTGCTGGGAATCGCTATAATAGATGAATGAATTTATTAGCGATTCCCGGCAGCCTTTCGCGCTCGTATTCGACTTTTCCGCTTTGCTCGGGGGACAACCTGAATTGAAATAGCTGTATATAGTTTCATCTTTCAAGTTTACCTTATCACAACCCGCACACCCGAAAATTTATTTTTCCACGAACTTGCGGTTGCATCTCGGCAACTGGCCACTGTAGCCCAGTTGGTTAAGAGCGCTGCACTGGGATCACAGGACTGCAGGTTCGATTCCTGCCAGAGGACCTTGTGTTGCATTCAGTTTCCCAACCGTTCCTCAGTGGTTAGGTCTTAAATTGTGTATATATATGCTCACTTAGATTATCCACCAAATCCAGCATTCAAGTTCAACCAAGTGCAAAAACATCTTATATGCATCAATCGTCGTTTAAAAATTAAAGTTAGATTTGGGAAGAACGAGAAATGTAGCGATATTCAGCGTCAACGCTCAGTTACTTAAAATCAATTGTAATGAAGTTTCCACTCAATGCTGTGGCCTAAAAATTTGTCCATTTCTAAAATAATAATTTAAAATAGTCTGAAATTTAATGCAGTTAATTGTTAGTGTATAATCTGCGATAAATCACAGTCAAAACATTGGGATTTATCACACATTAGTGGTTGATAAATAAATAAAATAATAATCACGAAGCGACAACTACAGTACGAAATTAGACGGACGATAAATAAAATTTAAAATCCGGTTGGTCTCACTTAATTTTTATTATTATTATTATTAGTTTAATTAAATCCATTTTGCAGCTAAAGCTGAATTACATGGAAGACAATATTTGCATTATTTAAATATTAAAATTTACATTAACAATATGTATTCTATCCTAAATTACGATTAATTACGATAATATACTCTAACTATTAAACTACCTATTATAAAAATGTATTCATAAAAACGTAACTATATTCTATGGTAAAAAAGTTCTTTAACCGTTCAGACATTATCGGTAGGAGTTGCGGGTTATTATTACGCAGATCATAATTATGAGTTAGGTCTGGTAGACCGGATTTAACTATTGCAGTTAAAGGGTTGTGCGGCGAATCTTGGTCTCGAAGTGAGTTAATTCATTTCTAACATGCATTCTTCTTCTCTTCTTGTACTCAGTAGTTTAATGTTACTATTCTGTAATGCTTCATCATTAGAATGAGTAGGATACGCGATTTTTAAAGCTCTTTTTTGCACCGACTCAATAATGTCTGATAATGTCTTTGGAAGAGCGGACCAAACTGGTGATGCATATTCCAATTGGGATCTTATATAACTGCACAATAAATATGAACAATGTTTAAAGGGCTCAGTCCAGCTTTCTTTAATAGGCGTAAAGCATAGATGCGTGAATTTGCTTAATTTCTTTAAACTTTTATCTACGTGTATATCCCACGAAAGATTGTTAGTCAACCACACGCCTAGTAGTTTAAAACTGGAGACTCTCTCCACCACATCACCGCCTATAAAAATGTCATTTTCTATTAGTTTATACTTAGAAACGTATAATAACCATATCTTTGCATTTCTTTGGATTTAGTCTTATTCATCGTTCGTTTGCATAATCGAATATTTGGTCCACGATAATTGGTAGGAAGCTAGGTGAACATCATGGGTTTATTTCCAAGGCCGTAGTATCATCGACGAATTTGACTCTTCCAGGCCAATCCTTTAACAAAGAATTTACAACGACTGCAAAAAGCAGCGGTCCTAGTTTTGTTCCTTGTGGTAGGCCACCGTTTGTTTTCTTCCACGACGAGTATGAGTTTCCAATTCGCACACACTGTTCACGATTGCTAACAAAACCTTTGATCCACCTCACTATGGCAGGATGTACACCGAGATTTTCCAGCTCGCATATTATGACTTTATGATCAACAAGATCGAACACCTTTTAGTCCGCGTGTTGTGACGCGATATCACTCTCCTCCACAGAGCCTTATGAATTTTTAGCAAAATTATTATAAGTAAACGCATGCTTTGAGGGAAATTAGTGATTAAATGTCCCCACAAATCGAGGGAGGTTTAGTAACTTTTACTAAACCTCCCGAGGTTTGCGGGGTCATTTAATCACTAATTTCCCTCAAAGCATGCGTTTAGTTTTATTTTGAGTTGAACGACGAAAGGCCTTGATCATTGCTGATCTGGTCCCGACGGTGCAATTGAACCTGAGCCCGTGACATCGCCGCACCCAGGGGGTTGCTACACAGCAAGCAAACCAACAGAGAGTACGACCCTCTCCCCCGTGCCATCAGACAAACATGAATGACCTGAACAATCGGATGCTGAGCATCGTCATGCCCAGGGATCCATAATCCTATGATAGTGGATGAACGGGAATGATGTTAACTGAGTTTGAATCATCATGAACAACCCTCCGAGTCTACCAGATACCTGTGCAACCTATCCGAACAAAAGTCCGAACTAACCACAGGCCAACATTAATTCAAAAAGGAGGCCACAGCAGTACACCAATAAAGGAGACCACTGCGCCTATTAAAACACAAACAAAACAAAACAAAACAAAACAAAACAAAACAAAACGAAACGAAACGAAACAAAACAAAACGACATTACAAGCCACATGACATATCAACAAAATAACACAATTAAAACATCATAAACAACAGCCAAAAAGGCCGAAGTTTGAAAACATTGACTGACAAGAGTACCAACACAACTCAAAGGACAACGAAGACAACACCAATGAAGGCGATCCCCGTGCCCAGAGAGATAGATACCTACACATCTCAAAAGACAACGGCAGTAGCAACCAATGAAGGCGACCACCGCGCCTCCGAGAAACATTTAGACAAATTAATCGCGAAACTCCGCCGCAAAAGCAATAATGTCCCCAGCGGACAAATTGCCGACACCACCACTCGCCAACCAGAAATCGGAGAAATTGGCCGGCAAACAATGACGCTGCTGAACACGGATCGCACACCGTAAGGCAGACTTGACACGCGATAGGACCGTAGGTTAATGCGGTATCACCTTATCAAACCTGGCTTTATTCCTGGTTAACCAAATGTGGTGGCGAATAATTCCCAACAAACTTGGAAATACGGGAGGTTACCTTTACTTTCTTGCCATAACCAACAAGAAGATCGCATTTAGAAGGACGTTGGGACTGTGGTCGGAAACGTTTATAGACAGAAAAATACCAATCGATAAGTTTAATAGCAAATGGACAGTCAGTAAAAAGGTGGATGAGGGACTCCCGTTCGGCCACAGTGACACAACGGGCCAACGCGCATTCCAAAGCGCAGCAAACGATCGGCGGTGGGAAGAATACCATGCGCAATCAGCCAGAAAGTGTCCCGAACCGGTCTTATAAAACGCCAGAGAAGAAGGGACAACCAAACATTTGACCAATCGACTGGAAGACCCCAATTCGCATACTTTTCGACGCATCGATGTTGCTTACGATGTTGGCGAGACAGGGTGTCATAGACGAAACTTGCCAAGAGCTGTTCAAGCGTGGCCACAGATTTCCGAGGACCGCAAATGACGTATTCATTGTCCACAAACTTCCGTTCCAAAGCAATCCAAGCCGTCATCACAGATCGATAAAACGGAGGGAGAGCGTCCATAGCATATTTCGGTGGTACCGCCAAAATCAAAATTTGGTGTACAGAGCGACCAGGGAATGCGCGCTTGAGATACTGAGAAAAGAAACTAGTCCACGGCAAGTTGGGACGAAAAATAAGCCTCTTTACCCATAAAACATGTACAGTCAACATCTTACGATGGACGTCCACCAGACCTAAACTCCCTTGATTAGGTCGTTGTGTGACTGAGGAGCGAGCCAGCCATTCTCGTTTCTTCCGCCATACAAACGGAAAACCTCCCCATTGACAGCCTTAATGATTGCTTCAGGTATTACAGAAAACGAACATAGATACCAGAGAGTACTCAGCCCCAGCATATTGGCAATGAGAGCGCGTCTAAGAAAGGAAACCGCTCTCCGGTTCCAAGCTGATAAAGTAGTCTTCAAGGCCTTGATCTTTGACTCCCATTGTTCTTCATTATCATTAGAGATACGAGAACCCAGAACAATGATTTCCACATTGGACCAATCCAGAGCAATTGGTAGATTGAAACGAGATTGCCATGTATCAATCAACAACCCATGACATTCTGTAACATTTAATTTAGCCCCAGACGCCTTCTCGTATCGTGTGAACAAATGGAACAGAGCATTCAATGCCAAGTCCGTAGTTACGATAATAGATGCATCATCAGCGTATTGACATAGTTTAACCGACCGGCCATTTGGTAAGATGTAACTATCGATGAAACAATCCGCACGAATTGCACTAGCTATTGTTTCCGCCACCAATACGTAGAGTAAAGGGAATAAGGGCAGCCTTGACGAACACCCCGAGAGACAGAGAAAAACTCAGTTGTTTCACCATTGACCAGGATACAGGAAAATATATTTGAATATAATAAAAGTACCCATTTCTGGAAGGAATGACCAAAATTTATAGTTTGCAATACACGGGATAAATACTCCCATTCTACCCGATCGTTTGATCGGTTTCTCCATAATCTTCGCTATAAAAGGCCGTTTGCCGTGACCTAAAAATATGCCTAGAAAACGATTTTCATTAAGCATGTCGTGGAACTGAAATATTTTCACGGTAACTAACATTTTCGAACACGCTGAATTCAAATCCGAAAAGTTGCCGCTCCGTAGACCCGTAGTTTTTTCACAAATTGCATTTGTATTTTCAGTTCTTCGACGAACAAAAATAAATACGCGCCATTTTGAAATTAAATAACATCATTCAGAGTATGCAGTTTTTGCTCCCCAGTCTCCGGTGCTTATGACCGAGTGACCGAGTTTAAGATTTAGAGCAATGTTATTAAATTTCCTGCAAAACAAACACAG